TTCAAATCTTTGCTTAGTAGCAGAAAGGTGAAGTCATTTTCATTAGCTGCTTTATCAGCTCTGTTTCAAGGCACCTCATATTTGCATTAGCTGGTGGGTGGAGCATTGCACCATTAGTTGCCTCGACCTTTGACTGAGTGGACTGGGCTGCGGTTGTAACCACAAAATAGAATTGGCAGGACTAATCTAGTTAGTTGGTGATGATACTAAAAGTGTAGACATGAAAGCTGAGTGGAATTGTGCTCAAACTTGTAAAAGCTGCTTCATGAAGATAAGATATTCTGTTTACAGCAGTAGGAAGTTCTGACATTTCAACAACTGGATAGTTTTGTTAATCACAGTAGGCAATCTTGTGCTAAAACCAGCTCTACCGGCATTCAGTGGAGCACAGGGAGCTGCAACAACTGAACAGCTCAATGGTTCAGACTTTGTTAGCTGAAACCCTGTTTAGTGATGATAACAGATTAAGAAGGAGAATTTAATAGAGTAAAATTATACTTATAAAACATACTAATCTTAGGTTTCAATATTTCAACAATGAAACCACTTAATAACAGTCATTCAGTTTTGAATGTGTGATAAGTCTTTTTTTGTAGGCTTTTTAATATCCTACCACATAAATGTTGAGATTTTTTTAAGCCGTACTTAAAATGAGTGCATTTATTTTAAAATTGTAATTTTTTTTTGTAGGAATGCCTCAACATGCAAATGGAGGACACACTGGAGACCACAACCTATCCCCTTCAAGACAGCCCTGAAATACAGAATCCAAACTACTCTTTTTACCCCATGACAGATGAGAAAGCAAACAGTTTAAATGTCGATCCCACAGAGTTTATGAACACATTTGACAGCTCCGTTCCCAGCATGGCTCCAGCTGATGGCCTCAGCCCGATAAAAGTAAAAACCTCTCAATTAAATGGCAATTTAGGCGCAGAAAGTTTCTGTAACATATTTTATCAGAACACTATATTGGAAGAGAGCAGTGGTCAGCATGAGCTCGAAGGAAACGAAAGTGCTGCCATGTCCGATGTCCCGAACGAGGCCCCCTTCACTCCCATGGATTTGTACAGCCTCTCACCCGGAGATGCCTTTGACAGAAGCAAGCAAAATCTAATAACAGAACAGCCAGACTCAGATTCGGGGATCTCTACAAATGCAAGTCCTGCAAAATCTGCATATGGAAGCGAGTCCTTTAGATGCAGCGACTCGGACATGGAGGAGATGGACCAGAACCCTGGCAGCGCAGAATCTGACTACTCTGAGATGTTTTCATTAAATTTCCAACCAGATGACGCACACGCAGCAATTTCCGTATCTATACCATCTCAGCAACCAAACGAGCACGAGAAGAATCCCAAACATAAGGTGGACCCAGGAGAAGAGAGCAGCCACAAGAACGCCCCCTTCACCAAAGATAAAGCGAAGAAACGCTCTAATGTGCGTCTCTCCAGAGACGAACAGAGAGCCAAGGCGCTAAAAATCCCCTTTACCGTTGACATGATTATCAACCTCCCCGTTGATGATTTTAATGAGATGATGTCAAAACACCAACTGAACGAGGCCCAGCTGGCCCTGGTCCGCGACATACGCCGCCGCGGAAAGAACAAGGTGGCAGCCCAGAACTGCCGTAAACGCAAGATGGAGAACATAGTGGGTTTGGAGAGTGAGCTGGACTCGCTGAAGGAAGAAAAAGAGCGCCTGCTGAGTGAGAAGAGCAAGAACATGACAGACCTGAAGGAAATGAAGTGGCAGCTCAACAACTTGTACCTGGAGGTCTTTGGCATGTTGAGAGATGAGAAGGGAAATTCCTACTCCCCATCAGAGTACTCCCTTCAGCAGTCAACGGATGGCAGCGTCTTTCTCGTTCCCCGCATTAAAAAGACTTTTAAAAGTGACGACAGACACTGATCTCCTTTGTAATATGGTACTTCATTATTATAGTATACTATACTATGCAATAACTTTGTAGTTGCTCAGCTTTAAGCGTTAATAGCTCAGCAGAACTATTGTATAGTTTTTGCTTTCTTGAATGTTCTACTATTTTTTTATATTTTACTTCTTTTGTACTCCGACACCTTCACAGATTCTTTAACCAATAGTTTGTAAATATAAGCACTGAGATTGATTAAAAAAAAGTTACTGTGTTTGTACATATATATTGTATATATATTATATTTCTGTATGCTAATGACTATTTCAATCAGTTACTTATTTTATAACTTTATCCTTATGATTTGCTCCCCTTTTTTATTCTGATTTCTGTGCTTTGAAATAAACTATTCATATAGCTACTTAGCCTCCCGCTGACTGAAAACAATATTGCGTGCTATGCTGCAGCCACAGCCCACAACAGATTGGTGCCAGATGGATATGTAGTTTTAAGATACTATTGCATAACCTACTTCATGTTCAAGACCGTTCCTGACATGAATGCTTTGCTAAAGTGCTTACAGCGCAGCAAATGAATAGAATTTTGTAAAGACACAAAGACGTCACTGGATTGAAATGCTTTCACAATCTGCTCAACTTGTATAGGAGCGAGCTTGTTTGTACAGTAACCCAAATCTTTTTATTCTATTAAAACTCCTGGTAAAATAACTCACACCCACGGCATTCTTTATGACGCGGTACAAAGGGCACAATTGTCAAGGTACAGTCGAGTATGCTCAGCGCTAAACATGAATGACAAGTCCACAATACTCCAACGGGAAAGTGCATTCAAAGGCAAAGCCTGTTGCAATCAATGTGCCCCCACGCCATGCACTTTCACACACAGACTCTCCCCTTTGGTTGTCAAGCCTGTTTTCTGCACGTGGCAAACAAAACTGGAGGGTAGAGTTTAAAAAAAAAATTCCAAGGACACACGTTAATCAAATAATAAAATGCTCTGATAACATTTACTCTGAGGAATAAAGAAACAGTTTAAGAAATAAAACACTCATATCATGAAAAATCCCTTTATTCAAACACATAAGTCAAACGTTACATATTCTGCTTAGCAGACAAAATGGTTCACTGGTGTGCCCTTAACAAATAAGTTTTTCTTTTCTTTCCTTCGTTGACTCGCTCTTTGTCTCTCCTGACATGAGGCTGGTTATTTTACATGCCTTTGCAAAGATAATATCCTGGGAGAGACAGGATAACAGTGGGCACCGTTTTTGTTTTTTATACTGAGCAGTCTAGACATAAAGTATGTGGAATCAAAACATTTGACACCTAAACTTTGTCCACCTAGTCGCAACACGACCAAAGTATCACAAACATGAATACATATAAATCAGAAATAAGTTAAAAAAATAATTAAATGTCAAGTTTATTTTTATGCATTTGATGAAAGATCATTCATCACTTCTAAAAACTACACGGTATATGTGCCGTAGGAGGACTTGTCATGATTATGGAAACTTTACAAAAAGTCCCTCAATTTGCTGGCTTACTTGGCTACTCTGAGAACTGAAACAAATGGAAGCACTTTGTAAATGGCCTGTAATGGAAAAATACTATGCTTTCATCTATTACACCAATATTTGAGTATACTCACATTTAATGCTATACGTGCCTGTGACCCCTGCTGATAGTTTTTTTTTTAAACAATTCTTTTAAAAAATTGGTTACATTTCTTTTTAAAAATGTTAGCTTTCTAGAGAGCCTCAGCCTCCAGTTTAAAGTGCTTATTTAATAAGTCACAGTTTATACTGTGTGAATTGATACTGTAATATTATAACTTGATTTTTCTGACTTTGCACCTTTTGGGATTAGGATTGTTTGATACATGATAAAACTAAAAATGGGAGCTCCTTGTGTAGTGGTTTACACATTTACTCAGTTTGATCCTGGAAGGAGATACAAATCCCTTGGAGGGTTGTGCCAAGAAGGGCATTGGGTGTAGGATTTGGTCAAATGAAATATGCAGACCTACCCTTTGAAGTAGGGGAGCAACTGAAAGTAGTTACTTATAAAACTTTCTTAACTTCCTTTCTTGGAATGGATGATAATCTTTCTGTTTCAAGTGTTCAATCACCACCACCTTTATTTGAGCTTTAAAATATACTGATGATAAGCATAAAGAGTATTTGGCTTCAAAGCGTACCGAGCAGTGGGGTGAAGGGCACATGCTGATTCTGCTCAAAGTAGACAAATACTGAAGGTCAACCTGCTTTGTTTATCTTAAAACACCCTGTGTTTTGCACCTTGTGTAATCAGCATTAGATTGAAATATGAGCAGGCTTGGACAATATTTAAAAAAAAAAAAAAAAAAAAAGTCTTACCCATCCAGAACCTTCCATGTTATCAGGTCTTTACAGATTTTCAGCAAGAAGAGAATTCCTCTTTCCACATCTGTAAATCAAGCAAAATGGTTACTCTTACCTGTTCCATCTTCTCAAGTCAGCTTTGTGAAATACTCATTCCCTTTTCTTCTTAATGTCTGAGTTCTAGTATTTGCGGGTAAAACTGCGGTATCTCTGACTCAACAGGACCTCCAGTGTGTCCTAGTCTTTCTTCACTAGCACGGGCTGCTGGAGAGTTTAGCTAGTCTTGAAAAAAAGATAGATGCTCACTATCAGGCACGACACTGCAAGCTTCCTCCATGGGCGTTGTGCTCGATGCTGCCTTCTCCCTTCTCTCTCAAACTGCTGACTGGTCCACTGTGCTGGGGCTGAAGACGTCCTGTCTGACAGTCATCTGCAAATCTTCCACACTAGTGACGCTGAAGCCCAAAATGCTGGTGCTTGTAGCTGTTATCCTACTTGCGTAAGTGGTGTCTGGGCCCTTCACTAGGACTACCCAAAACTCCCTTTATATTGACCCTGGTACAAGTACATGAATGCAACACGCATACACTATTTTCACGTCACAGAGCTCCTAAATAATACTCCACCAGATGGGAAAGTTGTGGACCAGCTGATTTGCTACACTTCAGTCACAATAAGCAAGCAACAGATATATTAATAACTCATTTCATCTTTTTCTGAACCAAAGATGCACTGAACCTCATGTTACTTTACTACACAATTTTATTCGGTCTTTTTCAACTAATCAAAATATTTGAACAATCTATAATTCGGTTTGCTGGGAACAAGAAGAGTGAGGGATTCCCTTAATTCTACTCCAGACTGCTTGTAATTGTTGACACTGGTACTACGAGGGATTTACACACTGAGCTTTACATACAAAATCAAAAAATACACTTGACACTTGCAATTGTGAAATCATAATAACTTTAGAATGAATGTATAAAGCTATCTTATCTAAGGACCTAAAATTATTATTCTATGTGACAAAAACCAGGTTAAAAGACAAAGGTTAATTGGCCAGCAGAAAACTTACCCATATAAAAAAGAAAAATAAAGATATTTAGAACTGACTTCAGATTAAAAAAAACAAAAAAAACATAGCAACCCCAAAACACTTTACTCTTTATCCCTGATACCACAGGCACAATACACACACACACTTCAGACGCACAGAAGGAAAAATTGCTCAGTAGGGAAACATCTATCACAATTAGGGTAGAGTATCATCTGCACTCATGTCTTGTATACAGTCCTTCTTCCATAAACTTCTCCGATTTAGCTGCAGTAATTTCTGACTTGTGTGTTCCTCTAATGCTTTCAGATGACTGCCTCAAAGTAACCTGCAGCTTTCCTGACAATTCCTTTGCTCACCTCCTCGCCTCTGCTGCTAAGAACTGAAGCCTGTTGAATGGATACAGGATAGAACAAATAGTTATTCTGCACTTTTTATGGGCTCACTCTGTACTGTGCTACGAGGGCGGTGTGAAGCTGAATGCAACTTACCACAACATTAAATAATTAATATCGCCGAGAGCCGTAGCCGCCGCTGCCACCACCGGAGCCGTATCCACCTGCAGTCGCAAAATTACGATGCTGTTACTCAGACTTGAAGTCTGAAGGTACTACGAGAAACTGCAGGGTGAAACTTACCGCCATAGGGTCCACCTGAGTTCCTGCCTCCAAAGCTGTTTCCCTTCATGGGCCCATAGTTTGACTGCTGACCACCATAGTTTCCAAAGTCATTGTAATTTCCACCACCTCCATATCCTGAAGATGCAGGTCAATTTTAAGGAAAGCTTTGGTTTCAACTATCTCGCACACACCTTCGCTATTCACATCCCGCGGGCAATTCAATCAAAATTCTGTAGGAAATAAAACTTTTACCTCCACCATTACCTCCATAGCCTCCGTCACAGTTGCCACCAAATCCTCCACCCTGGTTGCCATACCCAGGACCTCCACCTCCGTAGCCCCCTCGGCCACCTCCATAACCTGGTCCGCCATCATAATTTCCTCCTGGACCTATTATTTAATTAAGAAACAAAATAAAAATTAAAAATAAATGATTTTTTTTCTATAACACAGACAAACTGTTATAACATGGCACTACTGCAAAGAGTATTCTACAGACACACCAGTTGTGTAAGCATGACTTTTAAACCCATTAAAATAACCACCTTAGTGACTTTTGACCCCTAAATCAGTGCACCTGCTATAGTTTAAACTCATTAAAAGGCAAAACCTTTGAAAAACGGCTCACCATTGTCAAAATCATCCCCATATCCACCCCGTCCTCCACCATAGCCACCTAAAAAACAAGATAAAGAGATTACCAAGAAGAATCACATATTATAATGATCCCAATCAACATCACAGACCCCTCACACCCTGGACACCGACCCTGACCTGCTGCCAAATGTATAGAAGCCTGCAGACCAGGACCACCCGACACAGAAACTGTTTTTTCCCCTTGCCATCTCCCTCCTAAACAGTTGAACTGTCACAATGCTAGACACAATGCATATACTTGGCCAATAAACGCGATTCTGATTCTAAACATAGTTTTAGACTCCTATTATCTAAAACTGAATGCCTTAATTAAAAGAAATTATATTACTTCTGCTCACATAGCAAACCTTAATTTGAAACTGTCTTTTTACATGCAGTACGGTAATCTACTGAAGACTACTGATGGTAGGTTTATATTAGCATAGGCACCAGAATTTGAGAGCAAATGGTCTTTTATATTGATCAATTCATAAATACACAGTACACTTTGATATAGACATCCACACAAAGACACTCGTACTGACACATAGAACACACGTATATGCAATATTTGCAAGTACTGTGAAGTTTTGATGTTATTTCTGTGCTTCCATCCCAAATTTAAACTTCAAATTAATGTGCTTAAGGCCAGAAGTGCTTTGACTTGACATGCAAACTACCCACCTCTGCCAAAGTTGCCGCCGCCTCCAAAATTACCACCTCTGCCCATGAAATTTCCCGATCCCCCGCTCCTGCCTATTTAAAGAAAGGTATAATTTTAAAGATTTTTATGACATGAACTGCATACTGTACATGCCAAATCAGTAAGTCTAATTTTAATCTTTCTTTGATTGCATGCTTACCCCTGTTATTGGACATAGCACTCATTTCCTGTTTTGACAGAGCTTTCCTGACTTCACAATTGTGGAAGTTGATTGTGTGGAATTTCTGGGCTTCAAGGAAAATAGGAAAAACATTACATGTTTATTCACTGCTTTCTGTTTACTAACAGTTTGGCTAACTCTGAAATCTGAATGAGCCCATACCAACAATTTTGTCTACAGTATCATGGTCATCAAAAGTGACAAAGCAGAATCCTCTCTTCTTCCCTGTGGAGCGTTCCTCCATGATGTCAATGCATTCGATCTTTCCATATTTCTCAAAATACTCGCGAATGTGGTACTCCTCAGTATCTTCCTTGATGCCACCAACAAAGATCTTCTTCACTGTCAGATGGGCGCCTGGTTTATTGGAGTCCTAAAGTGGAGTGCATTAGTAAGTACACACCAAACAATAACATATCTATAGTAACTGTGCTCTGGTCTGGGATTTATTAATTTCTTCCTTTATTTTACCTCTCGGGACACAGCCCTCTTGGGCTCTACAACTCGGCCATCTACTTTATGAGGTCTTGCTTTCATGGCATCATCGACTTCCCTTACAGACGAGTATGTTACAAAGCCAAACCCTCTTGATCGTTTGCTGTTAGGATCTCTCATTACCTAGGGACAAAACAGGTTTAACAGGTACAGTTCAAGTGGTGTGCTATTACATTTACACGTTGTCACCTGTATTTGAAATCATTTTAAAACTAGCCCATGAGAAAAGTACAAACCACACAATCTGTAAGGGTACCCCATTGTTCAAAATGGGCCCGTAAACTCTCCTCCGTAGTTTCAAAGCTCAGACCTCCAATGAACAGCTTTCTGAGCTGCTCAGGCTCTTTAGCGCCACGGTCCTATAAAAAAAAAAAAAGCAAACACACCACCTGGTTAAAGATGCATCACAAAACTAACTGTGAAATGACCCTACACGTAAGAAGTTGTTACTACGCTGTACTAATAACCCTAAAGTAAGACATTACACACAAGAATTGTGTTTCAGACACTTTCTCTTTCTTTCTTTTTTAAATCAGCAAAATGTCCGTCTTTGTTTAAACAACGTTGTGTCTTGGAAAAAACATACAAATTTATTAAAAAAGACATCAAATATAACAATTCAGTAAAACAGAGATACATAAAAAACTATATTGATGTATGTAACGGATTAAGGAAATTTCCTATGGTTATTTTTATTATCTTAACTCATTCACTGCCAGCCATTGGCAGTGAATGAGTTAAACCATTGACTCATTCACTGCAATTGACGGCTATAGACGTCAATGGCAGTGAATGAGTTAAGCATAAATGGCCAGATGAAATGTATGGGATTCTGCAATCAATATTTTTATATGGCAGCTTTTCACAACAGGTGGTTTCTTCGTACTCTGAGCCTGAAATTTCAACTTCAGCATTAATTAAAGTGTTTTACTGAAGGTTTCTTCAGACATCAATTATTGTTCTTGTTAATAAAATGTAATTCGTGTTTTAAACCAACACCTACAGACTAACAAATCGGTTGTGGTGGAAAATATACACAAATATATACAAATTTACCTCCACAGTGAGACTAAAAATATCATTTATAGAAAAGATAAAAACAAAAACAAAGAGAAAACAATATTTGAATATTTATCAGTTATGAAATTAGGCTGTTCAGCTGTAGTGTCAGCCCTTAATACCAGACTGTGACATTAACTCTTAGGCGACACACTCAGTTAAAAAAACAACAACCCCACAACACTTAAAAAACAAAAACACACGGAATTATATTACGTGGCATGCTGCATATACCATCTAACGTGTCCGTGTCCATAGTACAGTCTGGGTTAGCCTGAGCTGCATTAGCTTTAGCAGCTAGCATTAGCTCGCTTCAAGACAGACGCAGGTACTCTAGCAACACTAACAATATACACATAAACAAGCAAAACGCACTTGCTCTAATAACTACCTTTGGTTTATAAACTCCAGCGAGATTGTTTATTTATTTATTTGGGAAAGCGCAAACCCCAACACAATATACTGCTCTCCAGCTCCATAGCCGGAGAGCTGAATGTTTAGTCTTGTTGGACCACCATTAGCTTAGCTACAGTCTTAGCTAAAACGACCAGCTTTACAGTAACAGAGCAGCCACATGTTATGATGCAACACAATACGCCCTCTGAGCACTGTCGCGTAAGTGTTACAGAATAGCCACTGTCTCCATGCATGTCTCACACAACCGTAATTAATTTGCAACATTTGCCAGAACCTCACCTCCATTTTGCAGATGTCCACGGACGCAGATCTGAGCGGATCACGTGACCCAATCGGCGTGGCTGCTGATGCTAGTCGTAAGACAATCGTGAACTACAGTGGTCAAAATTTAAAACACAGCACTCTATAGCCTCCATGACTCATGAGCACAGACTGCCATATAAAGCTTCTTGTATAATATTAATTCTGATTAAAGTTATCTTAGTACACTCTGTCTTTTACTGCTCGCCTCGTTTCCTGCAACAAATCAATGTTACTTTGCGCCATCTGCTGGTTGACTTGGAGTACCAACCATCAACCCTTCCATCCATCAAGCCCTCCATAGTCAATGCTTCATGTTTGTGCTGCTGATGTTAGTCTGCAGCACAAGCAGCATTTATAACCGACATATCTCTGACCAGTGTCTACTGGACTCCCAGGTACATTTCTTTTCACACAAACCTGCCTTTGATTCATTTCAGTGAAATAACTGCTGATGCAATCTAGGCTGTAAATCGTTGCTTCAATGTCAGTAAAAAAAAAGAAATAACTCCAATGCAAGCCAAACCCTAAAAACAGGCATCTTCCAAATTTTGTGTTGCATTTGCAGCAAAATAAATAAATACATAAAAACATAAAAGGATTAGAATTCAGATTATTATCACATACAGTAAAACAAGCAAAGTAATTTCAGTAAGAGGACCAAAGTGTGATTGGGCTACTTCTTATATAGCGCTTTTTACTCTAGCTTAGCACTCAGCCCCTCCTCCCCCCACCCCGACCAGTAAACACAACAAACTTAAAACCCTACAAAGTTGTTTTTATCAGATATTTTAGTATTTTAATGGCAGAATGTTTACAACTTTCTATTTTCTTTTTTTTTTAAAGTACACCTTTAAAGAAGTTTTAGAAATGTCTGCATGAAAATAGTTAATAACAATTATGTTCAGTTGAAAGTGTGGAAATGAGACATAAAACCATCTTTTCAGTTCAAGTTTCCTCTGTGTTACGAGAACACTTGATTGGACAGGCATGATCTATGAGCCAGATGCTACTAAGCCTTGGTGAAGCTGACCAGCATCTCCAAATATATGACGGTTTTATGGTTTAGACAATGTCTGTCATTAACTTTACTGTAGTATGTGAGGAAAATACAGCCCCAATAAAAAAGGGTAATGTTTTACTGACACTATTAATGATGAGTTTTTATGAGCGGTCCATAGTTCAAATTCAAGAGCCAGTCCATGTTTGGCTTCTTCTGTCCTGCTGCAGCCTATGTATGCTTTCAGACACTTGATCAGTTATTTTGTGCATTACAACACAGATCTTTTTCTATGGTGGAAAATCAGTCTACAATAAATTATGGAAAAAAAAAATCAGACGTTAGTGAGAGTGGTCCTGCTTTTTTTGGAACTACATAAATAACGGTTGTCTATGCTGGAACCTCTATTGCAAAGGTCTTGCTGTGTGTGAACATATAACAATCATCTTCTACTTTGGTAACTGGGCCCCGTTGGACTATTTCAGCGTGGTAATGGTGCTGCTCACAATAAAGGTCAATACATTTTCTGGTTGCAGCAGATGCCTGTTTAGCAAGATGAGTGTGAATCCTGCCCCGTCCACCACCTTTGAAGTAGAGCAGATGGTCTTTAACACTGTCCAAATGCCATGCTTTTATTTTTTAAATAAATTTTTCCTGTTTGTATTGGAACAAACAAGAAGCACGATGCAACACACATGAGAAGAAATCATTCTGCACTACAGGAAAAACAACAACAGCACACCTGAATCTGTCTTTACTTATCTGTACTTGTTGCATTCATAGACTGATAGTCCTTAAATCAAATTTCTATTTTATTAAATCTATCACTGTATAGTATATTTCCACAGTATGGTTAGGGATTGGTATAAATAGCAGAGAATTTGTTAAACTCATGTTAGTCCCTTAAATATACCTACTGTGAAAAGTAATACATACTGAGTTTATATGCAAGAGTACATTTTTGCCATATTTGTACTTTAACCTACTACCATATTACACTTCTACTGTAATCAGTGCTTAATAATACAGAATATGATGAGCTTATTCAGTAGATAAAATTCGCTTGACCTATGCAACAATAAAATGGCAACATTCTCTTATCACTGAGACATAAATGTTTCAGTCTCAGTGATAAGAGATCCATTTTACAACAGCCTTTTTGCAAGCTAGTGTTAGTAACTGATATCAGTGAAAGGTTCAACTCTATTTAGGTATACAGTGTTTACCCCTTTCAAATAAAAAACGGCTTTTGAGTAATCCATGTCAAGTGTGCCATTGCTTCTTAATTGCAAGCTACTGATCTGGCTCCTGCTCACAAGAGCATTTAAAGTCTCAGCAGGAGCAAGGATTTACAGAATGAGAAGAATCATGACGTGTTTACGTGTCATTTTTAAGAGTTACTGACTGGGGAAGAAATGCATGGTTGTAAATGAGAAGTTCAGTAGTTCTTGTGTTATTTAGAACATCTTAATAGCATGCACGCAGTTGATATGTGGCTTTCACCACTTAAAGTATTTAGAATGTAACTTGGTACTTAGAGAAACTGTTGCTTTTTGTGTTACTTGTTCAGCTTAATTATGTCTTTGCTGGAGATGCTGTACAAGCAACTATTGCTGCAAGGCTGATAAATTATGCCAAAATTTTATAACTACATGTGAGACCTGCAAGGGCAGCGGGGCATGATCTGAGTGTAGTGGGTTAGTGAGACTAAACAGAACAGTATCGGCCGCTCACAGATGTGGTGTGATGGATGCTCTGTGTACACTTCCTCGCCCTCGCTTCAGGACAGTGTGTTTGTTTGGTTGTTGATCACACCCCTCAGTCTTTGTACCTAACTGCCCCGCGACACAAAGATATATCACAAGTCCCACACACTGCTATCCGTCATGGGCACTTCCAGTCTCTGTGCTTACTGTGGCTGCTTTTTGTTTTCATGCCATTTCAAGAAACAAGCCAGTGAAAACCTGCAGCTTTTGTTTTATCACTGTAGTTTGGGGTCTTTAATGCAGCAATAGGCCAGGCTGTCAGTCCACTGCTAGAAAAAAGAGATTTAAATGCAATTATCAGCTAATTTACATCAAATAAAGTAAAAAATGAATAAAAGTATTAGTTAATGACACCAATAAAAAAGTCTTGGTTTTCCCTGATTTACCATACAACAGTACAGCACTGGCCTTGACTGTAATTTAGCCTCTGACAAATGAGTGATATAATGATCTGCTGAAATAGAGGGGGATGACATCCTCGTCTGGGCTAAAAGACAGCACTTACTGTAGAACCACAATGAAATAATTAATACAGGTTTTATACCCATTTTTACACCTCCAAATTATGGTTTGCCATATATCTAAGGAGCGGCCGAGCAGAACAACGTCAGCAGAAATTTAATGTACAATAAATCTTGAGTGAGGGAGGGGCCAGCGGTTGCAAATCATATGTGAGGTGAGGGATGACATGACTGTAACCTTTTGCCCTTTGTTCTCATCTGGTGGCACAGAATATGGGAGCACACATCGTACACAAAACCTCTCTTGCGGCGTGTAATATTACACTGTACAGCTGACCTTTGTCTCACTTTAATTTGATCTTATCAACAGGATATACGCACGGATTGTGCTTTTATTTCAATCATATGGCAAGGGATCTAACAGTAGGTGGCACCATATCATAATGCTTCACACAATGCATCACACACGCGCACATGCACACAAACACCCAAAGCCTGAGAAAAATGAGTTACTTTTTACTAGGCTATAATGACACCACATTTGCTCAACTGAATTTTCTCAGCGCAAATAGTCCCACCAACTAGACTATAACCTCTCAAATGATGGCCATGTTGAGTCTGGTTAGTTTTTTTTCAGTGTCCTTTAGATGGCGCCATGGTCCATGAAAAGAAGAGCCTTTTATTTTTCAAATCATATCACCTTGTAAATGTCAAACAATATTCCTCGATACTAAATTACTATTTTCCCCTTGTGTCACATGTCTGGGTGCTTGATCATCCGCAATAATCTTAACGCCTTAATTATTGCTGTGTGTTTCTATTTGTTTGCATAATTAATGTAATTATGGAGAACACATTTTTATTATTCACCTATTAGCTGTTGCACAGCGAAAGCATACTTTAGGGAGACTGTGGCAAAATGATTCATTTAGAGCACCGCTCACTATCTTTTAGCAGATTTACAGGGGATAATATATTGCAATTGGATTTGCTTCATTTTTTCTTAGCCACGGAAGTCATATGGGTTTGCCTCGCCTTATCATTTATCACTGAAATTTTGTTATGAACTCTAATATTCTCCACAAATGCTACCTCCCACTGCTGTTGGTGCCTGAGGCGTTACGGTTGACCTTGTCCTGAGAAATCGTAGACTTGGCTCCATGACTCCATTAGGGAAGCCCGCCTGCCATAACCTGGGTTTGGGCAGACGGACATACGCAAGTGGAAACTGTGAGGAAATGGACATTCAGAGCAGGGAAACCAGGGAGTCAATTTAGTCACCGTCTACTACCTTTTCGCATGCAAGTACAAAGCAAATCTCACACGTTGGTGTTGACTAGAATCTCTCTCTAAGGAATTCAGGGACAGAACAATTCCTAGCATCTGTTTCCTGTTCACTTGCATGGAGGAAACTGGGTGTAAATCAAACCAAATATAAATAGAATCAGCATTCAATTTACAGGAGGTAAAGTTGGTGACTAGTGGCCTTGGATTTGAGTTCTTTCTGTCACTGATATGTATCTGCCCCTGCTGTCGAAGATGAAAGAAGACACTTTGCTCACTTCGATCCAACACAAGGCATAAATCTGCCTTCTGAACAAATAATATGGAGATAGACCCACAGCCAATATTCTATGAGCATTAAGATATGATTTAATATTCAGAGAGTATTTATTGATCCGTTTTTAACTCTTCAGTTCTTCTCTGCAGTTCATAAAAACAAAATCTGTTAATAGATCATTTATTACAGTAATTGACATGGGAATTAGAGAATACTGTTTATGGAAAAACATGAGTAGCCAGTGGAGTATTTTGCTAGATATGAATTCTGCAACACTTGTCAAGAGTGAAAATGATAAATGGTTACAATTGATAGGTTTGTTATTTAGAGTCGTACACATTAATTCTTTGGCTTCTA